GAAAAAGAGTGAGTGGTGCACTTAGGAATCTGTGGAGACAAAGAACTTTGTCCTTGGAGGCAAAGAGGGGAACGTATGAGAGTATAGTTTTACCAACGCTCTTATATGGGTGTGAAGCGTGGGTGATGAATGTTGCAGCAAGGAGAAGGCTGGAGGCAGTGGAGATGTCATGTTTGAGGGCAATGTGTGGTGTGAATATAATGCAGAGAATTCGTAGTTTGGAAGTTAGGAGGAGGTGCGGGATTACCAAAACTGTTGTCCAGAGGGCTGAGGAAGGGTTGTTGAGGTGGTTCAGACATGTAGAGAGAATGGAGCGAAACAGAATGACTTCAAGAGTGTATCAGTATGTAGTGGAAGAAGGCGGGGTAGGGGTCGGCCTAGGAAGGGTTGGAGGGAGGGGGCAAAGGAGGTTTTGTGTGCGAGGGGCTTGGATTTCCAGCAGGCGTGCGTGAGCGTGTTTGATAGGAGTGAATGGAGACAAATGGTTTTTAATACTTAACGTGCTGTTGGAGTGTGAGCAAAGTAACATTTATGAAGGGATTCAGGGAAACCGGCAGGCCGGACTTGAGTCCTGGAGATGGGAAGTACAGTGCCTGCACTCTGAAGGAGGGGTGTTAATGTTGCAGTTTAAAAACTGTAGTGTAAAGCACCCTTCTGGCAAGACAGTGATGGAGTGAATGATGGTGAAAGTTTTTCTTTTTCGGGCCACCCTGCCTTGGTGGGAATCGGCCAGTGTGATAATAAAAAAAATAAAATAAAAGGAATATTGTGAAGTAGATTAGTCCATTTCAGACCCCCAAACATACACGTACAAACGCACTTACATAAATACACTTACATAATTGGTCGCATTCGGAGGTAATCGTTATGCAGGGGTCCACTGTATTTATAAATGTAAGTGTCATAAATTGTACTACCTCATATTAACTCTTAAACGGTCCAAACGTATATATACGTTTTTTCAACATTTGAAAGTATGTAAAAAAAATGTAATTTTTTTTTTTTACATTTGAAAATGTATAAAAAAAAATTTTATCTACATTCGTTTTTTTGTTATATTCGAAAATATGTAAAAAAACGTAGATATACTTTTGGAGCACTACGGATTTGAACGTCGATCTGTTTGGACCGTTTAAGGGTTAACAATAGAGTGAATATTGACTGTTTGTATTCTACCACTCGTCACCTGTCTAGACTTAAGTAGCCTATAAGTAGTATTAGGTTAAAACTGCCCGAAATGCCATGGCATGATAGTGGCTGTTTTTGCTCCAATCATACCATGTGTAAACACACATTGTGACCTTAGCGAAGAAATAAATATTTTATTTTATTTTATTTTATTAGAATGCCCTACCCTGCAGCACTGTATGACCCTTGTGGGTTTAGTGCTTAGTTATGATTAAAATAGTAATCAAATACAGTTGTCTTATACACGAGTACTTTTTCTCCACGTCTCAGGTTGTGACATCAGTGTGAGAGCTTAGTGGAGTCTCCAACAACTGCTGGTATTACAGAAACAGGTAAGAATGGCCTGTGACCTGGTCATAATGGGTTGGAGATATTTAACTTGTATTTCCTTCACCAGATATATATACAATTATTTTTTTTTTTTATTATCACACTGGCCGATTCCCACCAAGGCAGGGTGGCCCAAAAAAGAAAAACTTTCACCATCATTCACTCCATCACTGTCTTGCCAGAAGGGTGCTTTACACTACAGTTTTTAAACTGCAGCATTAACACCCCTCCTTCATATACAATTATGTACACTATGTACAAAGATAGGAATAGTCAGTGTACCACACGGTGACAGAATGGCAAAAGCAAAAGTCAGAGAGAGAGTGCACCGTACTTAGCCAGCTAGTAGGCAAATCTGTCAAATGCTGACCGCGAGTGCCCCTCAAGAAAGGTTCCTTGATGTTGGTGAGGGGCTCTTGATTTAGGAAATTGGGTTTGTGCTCCAGTTCCCCGAATTAAGCCTGAATGCCTTCCACATCCCCCCCCAGCGCTGTATAATCCTCCGGGTTTAGCGCTTCCCCCTTGATTATAATAATAATAATGACCGCGAGTGAACCACATCGCCTCAGTACTTGGCGGGCTCATCTGTGATTGGACAATGAATCAAGGTACTGATTTAATGATGGGTACCCTAAAAATTGTTAAACTCTTAGCACCCAGTTCGCTGGTTGGGAGGCAGCCTATTGGAAGTGTGTACATATGCCGAATAAATTGTAACGTACTCTTTGCATGCCACACTGGTGAGATGAATCAACATGTACTGATCTTGCAATTATGTTTCCCAGCAAAGATAGTAGAAAAAGGGACTTTAATACACTGTTATTGAAGAATTAGACACGTGTACAACATCTGGGTATCTCTAATTGTATTCCTTGATGATGCAGTGTCTGACAAGCTGTATTATTATTATTATTATAATCAAAGGGAAGCGCTAAACCCGTAGGATTATACAGCGCCCGGGGGGGGATGTGGAAGGCATTCAGGCTTAATTCGGGGAACTGGAGCACAGTTCCAATTCCCTAAATCAAGAGCCCCTCACCAACATCAAGGAACCTTCCATGAGGGGGGATGACAAGCTGTAAATGGTCCAAGTCGGACCAAAATGTCGTCGTAAGCTCCTTTCTCCTATGTGCGGGTTATTTGTGTATATAGTACTATTAGACGTGTAACATCTGGGTGTCTTAATTCTTCATCTTGTCATTATACCATTCATGTACAACAGTTATTTAAAATCAGTGAAGATGAAAACTCGAGTCATCGCCTGGCCCGTGGCCAGACTTGGCAACATTAAAATGGTATAAAATACCGACTGGTTGTTAGGTAAGACACATATGCAACAGTTAGGTGTCTTTATTTCGAAACGTTTCGCCTACACATTAGGCTTCTTCAGTCGAGTACAGAAAAGTTGATAGAAGCAGAAGATACTTGAAGACGATGTAATCAGTCCATCACCCTTGAAGTTTTGAGGTGGTCAGTCCCTCAGTCTGGAGAAGAGTATTGTTCCATAGTCTGAAACTGTTGCATATGTGTCTTACCTCATCAAATGTATACCATAGGTATATACCATCTCCTGAGCTCAGCACTTTTGCCATGTTAGACTGCATCATTAATTGAAACAGCTAATGACATAATCGTTCTCTAAACCTGAATGGGTCTGGTTGAAGAAAAGTCACATGTGATATGGTTGTATATGTATATCAGAATTCAGATATTTAGGAGTGCACGTGTCAGCGGATGGGTCTATGAAAGATGAGGTGAATCATAGAATTGATGGGGGAAAAAAAGTGAGTGGTGTACTGAGGAGTCTGTGGAGACAAAGAACTTTATCCATGGAAGCAAAGATGGGAATGTACGAGAGTATAGTTATACCAATGCTCTTATATGGGTGTGAAGCATGGGTGATGGATGTTGCAACAAGGAGAAGGCTGGAAGCAGTGGTGATGTGTATGAGGGCAATGTGTGGTGGGAATATAATGCAGAGAATTTGTAGTTTGGAAATTAGTAGGTGCAGGATTACCAAAACTATTATCCAGAGGACTGAGGAGGGGTTGTTGAGGTGGTTCGTACATGTAGAAAGGATGAAACAAAATTGAATGACTTCAAGAGTGTATAAATCGGTAGGGAATGACTTCAAGAGTGTATAAATCTGTAGTGGAGGGAACGCAGGGTAGGGGTTGGCCTAGGAATGGTTGGAGGGAGGTGGTAAAGGAGGTTTTGTGTGTGAGGGGACTTGGACTTCCAGAAAGCATGCATGAACGTGTTAGATAGGAGTGAATAGAGACAAATGGTTTTTAGGAGTGTGAGCAAGGTAACACTTATGAAGGGATTCAGGGAAACCGGCAGGCAGGACTTGAGTCCTGGAGATGAAAAGTACAGTGTCTGCACTCTGAAGGAGGGGTGTTAATGATGCAGTTTTGTAAGCGCCCCACTAGCAAGACAGTGATGGAGTGAGTGATGGTGAAAGTTTTTCTTTTTCGGGCCACCCTGCCTTGGTGGGAAACAGCCGATGTGTTAATAAAAAAAAAATCTGAATGGGTCTGGTTGAAAGTCACATGTGATATGGTTGTATAAGAGGCAGCATGACCATGTCAAAGACATAGACGGTTCATCGCAAGATTGAGACCCGTGCCAGGACTGCTGTCTTGGCAAACATTATACATACGTCAAAGACATAATTTTTGAGGGGCAAATATGGCTGCTAGTGGCTTGGGTTTGAGAATGACCTGCCTAGTATGGGCCAGCAGGCAAAACATAGGTGTGTGCAACACTCAGGTATCTTTATTGTGGATATGTTTTACCAGCCAGTGGCTTCCTGTACTGGACTGAGGAAGCCACTGGCTTGTGAAACACTTCTAGGTGTTGCACATTGTCTAATTTGTCAACATGTCTCGGGTCAGGCCTAGTGTGCAGTGAGAATGAGCCACAATGCAGTGTCCTGAAGGTTAGGCACATGAATGCAAAATGAGTTGTAATCAATAACTTTCAGTTAACAAACAGAATGGCAGCTGGGGAGGTGAACTGCAGCCTGCAGATTGACAGTCTGGCGCTCAGTCAGTAGAGCGTTGGACTGTCATTCTGCAGGCAGCAGTTCACCTTCCCGTCCACCATTCTGGTAGGTATATGTTACTTTGGATAGCAACACCAGTTTCATGGACCAAGAAATAAGGTGAACACAAGCTAGAGTAAAACACAAACAATACTTATAAGTAGATAGACTAAGCTAACACTCAGATCTGCTATCCCTCTACCCACAGTAGCGCTCTATGACCCTTGTGGGTTTAGTGCTTAATTTTAATAATAATAATCTACCCCACAATAAAAATTAGTGGGGTTCGCCACTATCTACAGTTTCAGGTATCCACGGTAGGTTTTGGAACATGCTGATACAAGCCTGCAGGAAGCACAAGCCCCTAAAACTTAAAGCCTCTTTTATTCCTTCCTTCCATTTGTTCCTGGGACATATTGCATAAAATAAAAAAAAATTAAAAGTGATATTTTATTAAAAATCAGAAGTACAAGTATATATGTGAATATATGTAGGTATATATGGTCTTTACAAACACACATCAATATAAAACCCAGAAGTGTATATTCACAATCATATAATACACTAAACTTGCACCACCTCACCAGCAGCAACAGCTTGGTTGATCAGGCCCTGATCCACCACTAGACCTGGTCACAGACTGAGCCGTAGGGGTGTTGAACCCCGAAACCTCCTCCAGGTATACTCCTGGTGTATGAGGGCCCCCCCATATACAGCACCTATTTTCGGTTCCACAGTTTTGTTGGCTTTCAACTAAGCCATTGTACCATCCACCAGTGACTATCACATGTGGATGGAACAAAATGAACAATGAATAACAAAAAAAGGCACAATACCGTGACTGGAACGATACACAATTAACCCGCACATAGAAGAGAGGAGCTTACGATGACGTTTCAGTCCGACTTGGACCAGTGTGATTTTGTAAATGGTCCAAGTCAGACCGAAACATCGCTGTAAGCTCCTCTCTTCTATGCACAGATTATTTATGTATAATGAATGATGGCTTGATTTGAAGCCAATGGAAATGTGGAACACTAAAATGAGGTGCTGTATAAGAGGGGCCATCATGCATTTACACTGGTGGTGGGAAATTTGCATTAAGTGTGTAATAGATGTGTTGTATGGTCTGCGTTGTGGCATCAATGCAGGTGTCGTAATAGCCATCATCATTGTCAATCCAATCTTCTTCGAGTGGCTCTGAGGAGAAATAAACAAATCAAGAATGGTAAATATAACAGAACCCCCATATCCGCAGTTTACTGTGGCCCAAAATACCCCCTTAATTTTGCTTAAAAATGGCCTCAAAGTGCAAAAGTAGTGATGGTGGCAGTTATTCAAAGCCTAAGAGAAGCTGTGAAGCGCTTCTCATCAGTGAAAAAGTGACAAGTCTCCTCTTACCGTGCATAATTTATCAATTAAATTTTATAATAGGTATGTATAGGAATTATATATGATTCACTACTATCCCTGGTTTCAGGTATCCACAGCAGGTCTTGCAATGTATCCCCTGTGGATAAGGAGGGATTACTGTATACTATATTGGAGTTAATAAGAATGCTATTTATGCTTGAAAACTAAGAGTCGTTAAAATGGCATAGCTGATTAAAAATGGAAAATATCTGAATGCAATTAAGAAATACTGCTTGCAAATTGCAATCCTGCAACCGTGAACAGGTGAGTACACACATATACAGTGGACCCCCGGTTAACGAACTTTTTTCATTCCAGTAGTATGTTCAGGTGCCAGTACTGACCGAATTTTTTCCCATAAGGAATATTGTGAAGTAGATTAGTCCATTTCAGACCCCCAAACATACACGTACAAACGCACTTACATAAATACACTTACATAATTGGTCACATTCGGAGGTAATCGTTATGCGGGGGTCCACTGTACACACACAATAGCAACCAGTGAAGAGGCAGGGCCACGAGCTGTGACTCGACCCCTGCAACCATAAATAAGCGAGTACACACACACAATAGCAACCAACGAAGAGGCAGGGCCATGAGCTGTGACTCGACCCCTGCAACCACAAAGGCGTGAGTACACACACACAATAGCAACCAGCGAAGAGGTGGGGCCACAAGCTGTGACTCGACCCTTGCAACCACAAATAAGCGAGGACACACACACAATAGCAACTAGCAAAGAGGCGGGGCTAGGAGCTGTGACTCGACCCTTGCAACCACAAATAAGCGAGGACACACACAATAGCAACTAGCAAAGAGGCGGGGCTAGGAGCTGTGACTCGACCCCTGCAACCACATATAGGTGATTACTGTCTTTGCAGTGGCATGCACATACAACAGTTCAGATATTACTTCAAACAGCCAATATCCCAAGCCCCTCCTTTAATGTGCAGACACTGTACTTCCCACCTCCAGGACTCTAGTCCGGCTGACCAGTTTCTCTGAATCCCTTCACAAAATATGACCCTGATCACACTCCAATTGTTTTTACGTCCTTTATTTTTCACATTTTTTATTTTATTTTTTTATTATCACACCGGCCGATTCCCACCAAGGCAGGGTGGCCCGAAAAAGAAAAACTTTCACCATCATTCACTCCATCACTGTCTTGCCAGAAGGGTGCTTTACACTACAGTTTTTAAACTGCAACATTAACACCCCTCCTTCAGAGTGCAGGCACTGTACTTCCCATCTCCAGGACTCAAGTCCGGCCTGCCGGTTTCCCTGAATCCCTTCATAAATGTTACTTTGCTCACACTCCAACAGCACGTCAAGTATTAAAAACCATTTGTCTCCATTCACTCCTATCAAACACGCTCACGCATGCCTGCTGGAAGTCCAAGCCCCTCGCACACAAAACCTCCTTTACCCCCTCCCTCCAACCCTTCCTAGGCCGACCCCTACCCCGCCTTCCTTCCACTACAGACTGATACACTCTTGAAGTCATTCTGTTTCGCTCCATTCTCTCTACATGTCCGAACCACCTCAACAACCCTTCCTCAGCCCTCTGGACAACAGTTTTGGTAATCCCGCACCTCCTCCTAACTTCCAAACTACGAATTCTCTGCATTATATTCACACCACACATTGCCCTCAGACATGACATCTCCACTGCCTCCAGCCTTCTCCTCGCTGCAACATTCATCACCCACGCTTCACACCCATATAAGAGCGTTGGTAAAACTATACTCTCATACATTCCCCTCTTTGCCTCCAAGGACAAAGTTCTTTGTCTCCACAGACTCCTAAGTGCACCACTCACTCTTTTTCCCTCATCAATTCTATGATTCACCTCATCTTTCATAGACCCATCCGCTGACACGTCCACTCCCAAATATCTGAATACGTTCACCTCCTCCATACTCTCTCCCTCCAATCTGATATTCAATCTTTCATCACCTAATCTTTTTGTTATCCTCATAACCTTACTCTTTCCTGTATTCACCTTTAATTTTCTTCTTTTGCACACCCTACCAAATTCATCCACCAATCTCTGCAACTTCTCTTCAGAATCTCCCAAGAGCACAGTGTCATCAGCAAAAAGCAGCTGTGACAACTCCCACTTTGTGTGTGATTCTTTATCTTTTAACTCCACGCCTCTTGCCAAGACCCTCGCATTTACTTCTCTTACAACCCCATCTATAAATATATTAAACAACCACGGTGACATCACACATCCTTGTCTAAGGCCTACTTTTACTGGGAAAAAATTTCCCTCTTTCCTACATACTCTAACTTGAGCCTCACTATCCTCGTAAAAACTCTTCACTGCTTTCAGTAACCTACCTCCTACACCATACACTTGCAACATCTGCCACATTGCCCCCCTATCCACCCTGTCATACGCCTTTTCCAAATCCATAAATGCCACAAAGACCTCTTTAAGCCTTATCTAAATACTGTTCACTTATATGTTTCACTGTAAACACCTGGTCCACACACCCCCTACCTTTCCTAAAGCCTCCTTGTTCATCTGCTATCCTATTCTCCGTCTTACTCTTAATTCTTTCAATTATAACTCTACCATACACTTACCAGGTACACTCAACAGACTTATCCCCCTATAATTTTTGCACTCTCTTTTATCCCCTTTGCCTTTATACAAAGGAACTATGCATGCTCTCTGCCAATCCCTAGTACCTTACCCTCTTCCATACATTTATTAAATAATTGCACCAACCACTCCAAAACTATATCCCCACCTGCTTTTAACATTTCTATCTTTATCCCATCAATCCCGGCTGCCTTACCCCCTTTCATTTTACCTACTGCCTCACGAACTTCCCCCACACTCACAACTGGCTCTTCCTCACTCCTACAAGATGTTATTCCTCCTTGCCCTATACACGAAATCACAGCTTCCCTATCTTCATCAACATTTAACAATTCCTCAAAATATTCCTTCCATCTTCCCAATACCTCTAACTCTCCATTTAATAACTCTCCTCTCCTATTTTTAACTGACAAATCCATTTGTTCTCTAGGCTTTCTTAACTTGTTAATCTCACTCCAAAACTTTTTCTTATTTTCAACAAAATTTGTTGATAACATCTCACCCACTCTCTCATTTGCTCTCTTTTTACATTGCTTCACCACTCTCTTAACTTCTCTCTTTTTCTCCATATACTCTTCCCTCCTTGCATCACTTCTACTTTGTAAAAACTTCTCATATGCTAACTTTTTCTCCCTTACTACTCTCTTTACATCATCATTCCACCAATCGCTCCTCTTCCCTCCTGCACCCACTTTCCTGTAACCACAAACTTCTGCTGAACACTCTAACACTACATTTTTAAAACCTACCCCATACCTCTTCGACCCCATTGCCTATGCTCTCATTAGCCCATCTATCCTCCAATAGCTGTTTATATCTTACCCTAACTGCCTCCTCTTTTAGTTTATAAACCTTTACCTCTCTCTTCCCTGATGCTTCTATTCTCCTTGTATCCCATCTACCTTTTACTCTCAGTGTAGCTACAACTAGAAAGTGATCTGATATATCTGTGGCCCCTCTATAAACATGTACATCCTGAAGTCTACTCAACAGTCTTTTATCTACCAATACATAATCCAACAAACTACTGTCATTTCGCCCTACATCATATCGTGTATACTTATTTATCCTCTTTTTCTTAAAATATGTATTACCTATAACTAAACCCCTTTCTATACAAAGTTCAATCAAAGGGCTCCCATTATCATTTACACCTGGCACCCCAAACTTACCTACCACCACCCTCTCTAAAAGTTTCTCCTACTTTAGCATTCAAGTCCCCTACCACAATTACTCTCTCACTTGGTTCAAAGGCTCCTATACATTCACTTAACATCTCCCAAAATCTCTCTCTCTCCTCTGCATTCCTCTCTTCTCCAGGTGCATACACGCTTATTATGACCCACTTCTCGCATCCAACCTTTACTTTAATCCACATAATTCTTGAATTTTACACATTCATATTCTCTTTTCTCCTTCCATAACTGATCATTTAACATTACTGCTACCCCTTCCTTTGCTCTAACTCTCTCAGATACTCCAGATTTAATCCCATTTATTTCCCCCCACTGAAACTCTCCTACCCCCTTCAGCTTTGTTTCGCTTAGGGCCAGGACATCCAACTTCTTTTCATTCATAACATCAGCAATCATCTGTTTCTTGTCATCCGCACTACATCCACGCACATTTAAGCAACCCAGTTTTATAAAGTTTTTCTTCTTCTCTTTTTTAGTAATTGTAAAACAGGAGAAGGGGTTACTAGCCCATTGCTCCCGGCATTTTTAGTCGCCTCATACGACACGCATGGCTTACGGAGGAAAGATTCTTTTCCACTTCCCCATGGACAATAGAAGAAATAAAAAAGAACAAGAGCTATTTAGAAAAAGGAGAAAAACCTAGATGTATGTATATATATATATGCATGTGCGTGTCTATGAAGTGTGACCAAAGTGTAAGTAGGAGTAGCAAGATATCCCGTTATCTTAGCGTGTTTATGAGACAGAAAAAAGAAACCAGCAATCCTACCATCATGCAAAACAGTTACAGGTTTTTGTTTCACAGTCATCTGGCAGGACGGTAGTACTTCCCTGGGTGGTTGCTGTCTACCAACCTACTACCTATACATATTTTTATATAAAAAAAAATATATATAAAATATATATATTTTTTTTAACAAGTCGGCCGTCTCCCACCGTTTAACACTTTACGTTCGAGTCTATGAACTCCGACAAGGGAGACACAAGTATGTATCCTATTTAATACATTAAATTAAACTCACCATCTTTCACTTCAATCAAGTCATCGTGTATGTTGCTCATCGAGTCATCACAGACGTCGTCTCTCTGAAAGCGATAAAATACAAACATCACCAAAGTGTACAGACACACTGAATGTTGCTAGTGAAGAATCACTGACAGATGGTTATGCAGGTGAAGGTTTATTAGTGAATATTAACTGTGAAGTCTTTAAATCCTTACCAATAGAGCTTAATATAAATTATGTTTATGAAATCTAAATAATTCCCAATAGAGACCCCTTAATTATATTAATTCCCAATAGAGCTTAATATAAATTATGATTGTGAAGTCTAAATCCTTCCCCACAGAGCTTAATATAAATGCCTAAGAGTATAAACATAAACCTGACCAAATCTTCGCTACACACCCACGGTGGGTGTGACGAGTCATGTGTGAGGTCACAAGAGAGGTAATATCTCAGCCTTATACACCTTCTCTTTTCTTTTTGATTATAATAATAATAATACGCCTTCTCTTCTGTTAATATTACTAATCCTTGATAATGTGAGAAATCATGAAAGCGCTTGGGATTACACTACTTTTTCACTGTAGTTATTTTTCATATTGTGATCTTATTGCGTAAAATACGCTGTATAGCCCTTGTGGCTTAGCGCTTCTTTTTGATTATAATAATAATAATGGCGTAAAATAGAATAATGATTTAAAAACCAGAAAAAATCTCACGAACTCTTCCATATACCTGGAAGAGTACAATCCAGTTTTTTATAAAGCTTCTGTGTGTAGAGAGACTTTTTGTCAATGAAATTGAAAAAATACATCAAAAGTAAAAAATTGAATACTACGTACTGTACAACGAAGGCCTCTCCACGAGTTATTCAATTTTAATGTTTTTCAATCCCATTTGGAAAAATTTGCACCATATAGAGGACCTTTATGAGAGCTGACTGACCACACAATTTAAAATATACTGTAATAGAGATAAAAATACAAATTTCTCAGTGGTTTTTTAGCTAACCTATGACACTGAGCTTGACTCTATCATCATTACTGATTCTATGTCATCATTGAAGGCTCTTGGCTCATATAATGACTCCAACAACATGCTCATTGGGGAAGCCAGGTATAGATACTCAAAAATTAGGGACAAAGGAATTAATGTACAATTGCTATGGATCCCATCACACATTGGATTACTCCTTCATGATAAAGTTGATATGTTAGCCAAGAAGAGTATCGAGAAGGAGGATGTAGAATATAACTTTGGTATAACTGTGTCTAGCATTAGGAATAATATTAGGAGAGAAGTAAATAATGAAGATGATTGTTATAGGAATGCAGTTAGAAGCCTGAGTAGATCTATAACCCACTATGATAACATGAACGTAGATAAGTATGTTTATGGAGCAACGTGCAATGTGAACAGACTGACTGATGTTGTAGTGGCCAGGCTTAGGCTTGGTTATAAGTACTTCTGGCAGTTTGGGAGACACACAGATGATGATCAAACTAAATGTAAATTATGTGATCAGGCATATGGTCATTCTCTTGAACACTATGTGCTTAATTGTCCACTTATTGAGGAATACAGAGACAGACAGTATAATAACCTATGTGACATGTCAAGATATCTTATTAATGAAAATAAGATACCAGATATACTAAGCAAATTTCCTAAATTTGCTTGTAACAGATAAGTGAACTATAGATATGTAGACATAAATCCATATGTATTCCTGTTAACCCTTTGGGGCCTAGTTCCTAGGCCTTTTGTGTATCCATATGCTCTCGCGCTACCGTCCACAGGATGGATATGGGGTGCACAATAAACTAGCCACTTCGGTGGCAAAATCTAATCTTTTTGCCCATCTTAAAAATCTGTTCTATTGAGGTACGGTGTATGAGAGCGTGTTAGCAGTACCCAATGGTGCACCCTATTTCTGTGATGCCCCGAAGTGCACCTGAGGTTTGTGATACCCAGCAGTGTATCTATGTTAATGACTGATAGTGCCTCTAGTCTTAAGTACCGATCTATGTTAATGATCAATAATGCCTCTAGTCTTAAGTACCAAATGTGTAAATTGCACTATTTTATCCTGTATTTACATAAAATTAGATTTACAAAAGTGTAAATGCATGATAGCACATGGAATTTGTTATTCAATAAATCCTGCACATTAACCCTTTGACTGTCACAACCCCCAATCCTGAGGTGTCTCCTGGTGTCGCAAAATTTAAAAAAAAAAAAAAATTATTTTTTCTTATGAAATGATAGAGAATCTTTTCCCGATTGTAATGACACCAAAAAAACGAAATTTGATGGAAAACTGGCGGAATTATGCTCTCGCAAAGTTAGCGACCTCAGCGCTGTTTACAAATCGGCAATTTCGCCCACTTTGAGCCCTATTTTCGGCTAATTCCATTGTTCCAGTCGCCCAAACTCATAGCTATTTCTTTAGAACTCCATTTTTTCTATCGATTGAGTACAAGAAACTGCCCATTTACCGATTTCAACTAACTAATAATGTGGTCAGAAGTTTGCAATTTGGCCAATTTCATGAAAACTGAAAAATATGACAATTTCAAAATAAGGTCCAGAATGAACAATGCAGACATTCCTGGCTCTAAAATAACATTTTCTTTGCTCATCAGTCATGTCTCCAGGCCCCTCTGATATTACTCTTGCTTTCTATTTTGAGTTTTTATTCAAACAAAAAATAGAAGATTTACTATTATGCAGACTACTGCAATACTGTAATAATTGTATAAATAACATCAACCCATTCATGACTGCATATTAGAAAAGGCTAGTTGGACATTTTATTGGACAATGGCATCATTTGTTACTTTTGAACATCGGCAAAAATCAAACATTTCCCCTACTTTGAGCTCCATTTCTAGGTTCTTTTTATAGTAAAATCAATCAAAATCACCACTATCTCTATAATATGTTTTCCATTCTATCAAATGAGACCAAGAAAACGAGAATACAACCATAAATACTATACGAAAATAGACCACAAAGTCGGCATTTTAATTTAAAAAAAAACGGTCGGAGTTTTTTTTTCTCATTATGCACTGCGTGCTCCAGGATTTTTTTTTATATGGTGCACACTGACCACACAGACCCATTCTCTCACATGTGGGCCTACCAGCTTTCTCCTGCTTGATTTGAAGCCGCTAGAATTTATGAGTATATATACGTCAAACACGGTACCTTGTAAGATGTATATATACGGCCGTGACAGTCAAAGGGTTAAGACGTAAATATTTCATCCATTTATCCTCAATAATATTCCTGAGTGTTAAGACAACTCATCGTGACCTTAGGACCACCTATACAGAGGCTTGTTCTGTATACTGGTGTCTGCCCACATACCTATTGGTGGTACATCCACCGACCTACCGTAGGTGCCGAATGGTGACAAAAAGTACGACATTGGTGCCACACTCACCCTAGACTGCCTGGGTCTTGGTTTCTGCAAGGTTTGTGACTTATTGACTTTTTGGTATCTTGCTGGTGTGTAGATTTTCTGTGAGATATTTGGACTGCTGTCTTTCTGATAGATTTTTGGACTGTTGGCCTTCTGATAGATTTTTGATTTGTCAGCTTTCCGTGGAACTTCTGGTGTGACATTTTTCTGCAGAATTTCTGCCTTTTCATTTTTCTGGTTGAGGAGTGTATCAATTTCATCCGGCGAGAGAAAGTCAGCAAATTTTGTCGACTTCTTCCTCAACCGAGCAGAGCGCAACACACCTACAGAGATACACAGTGTTAGTGTGGTTTATCACTTGCGTGTATTTAATAAACTTGCATCTCCTTATTCTCAACCACATTCTCAACTGAACCACATTCTCAACTGAATCACATTGTCAATTGAACGTCATTCTCAACCAAACCTTCAAGAAAAAATATTTCGACAAATATACTGATAGCATCAGTGTATATATACAATGATTAACACTGTATATGCTGTACACTGACAGCAGCAGTGTATGTACACTGAACAGAAGTCTATACACACTGATAACAGCAGTATATGCACACTTAGTGGCCACTTTGATAGGTACATCGGCTCGTTAATGTCAATATCTAATCAGTCAATGAAGGTCAATGCCCCTGAGGCCTGGTCCAATGGCCTCTGAATCTCAATCTAACAGAGCACCTTTGTGGTATAGTGGAATGGGAGACTCACAGCATGACTGCAGTAACTGTGAGATGCTATAAGAGAGGGAGATTTCAATCGGATTTATAACCCCGGATACATACATACATAACCCCAGGATGCGACCCACACCAGTCGACTCACACCCAGGTACTGCACCTATTTGCTGCTAGGTGAACAGGACAACAGGTGTCAGGAAACACATCGAAATGTTTCCACTTCACCAGGAATCAATGCCAGGCCCTCTGCATGTGAAGTGAGACCTTTGCCAGCCAGGTAATGGGGCCCTAGCCCTATCATGTCAACATGGACCAAAATCTCCAAGGAAGGTTTCCACTGCCTTGTTCAATCTATTCCACGAAGAATTTGGGCTGTCCTGAGGGCAACGGAAAACACCCTACCTGGTACCACAAGAGTGTACCTAATAAACCAGACACTAAATGTATAACTGCCGACAGCATCAGGATGAAATTATACCTCGAGGGGAAAAAATTCAATTTCCATGAAATAGAAAAACCCTCAGGAAAAACAAAGTGGAAATAAATTTTGAGATGAGTTAGAGAACCAGCGTAGCTGTGAAACACAAGCCGTCGCTGCTGCCGACGCGGCATTTTCCTTACAGGCAAAACAATGAAAAACAAAAAACAGGAAAGAGATTTTACGATTTCGTTAAAGTTAACTTGACACAAAACAATTATATGTGAGTTGGATCAAGATGATATAATAAATAAATAAATAAATATAATTATTATTATTTATAATTATATATTAATAATATTGACTATTATTATTAATTATATTACTATTTCTATTCCCCTCAGGAAGGTTCCTTGATGTTGGTGAGGGGCTCTTGATTTAGGGAATTGGATCTGTGCTCCAGTTCCCCGAATTAAGCCTGAATGCCTTCCACATCCCCCATTCCCCCCATGCACTGTATAATCCTACGGGTTTAGCGCTTCCCCTTGATTATAATAATAATACTATTTCTATTATTATTATTATTGCTATTATTATCAATTATATTACTATTTCTGTTATTGTTAATTATGTTAATATTTCTATCATTATTATTATTAATAATAATATTATTACTATTATTATTATTACCATTATTATCATTATCATCATTATTATTATTATTATTATTATTATTATTATTATTATTATTATACAGGTCATACAGAGTCTGGAATGTGATTTGTATTCATGTCTGGTTTTAAGAATGGCTCTGATTCCTTGAATCAAGAGCCCTTGATTATCATCAAGGGCTCTGGAGTGGTGGTGACTATCTAGATGATTGTGTGTACATGTGTGCACACATGTGTACTTGTTTGTACATCTCTAGTACCATTAACATGTTAAATATTCATCAACTACTGTATGATTAACATATTAATAACACTTACCGTTGTTCTCTTCAGTTGAGGCGTCGATGACATGCGTCCCCGAGTCGTCTCTTTTGTCACCTCCCTGGAAGTCACAAAATATAATAATAATTATGATAATGATTAGAAAATAATTATAATAATTTATGATGACCATCTCCCACTGAGGTTGAGTGACCCCCCCCCCCCAAAAATAGTAGTAGTAAGTAAGTAAGTAAGTAAGTTTATTCAGGTATACACAAATACTGTTACATAGAATTATCATACATAGCAGCATATGTGTAGAGAACCTGGGATAACCCAAAAAAGTCAGACAGAGTGACTTATTTCCATTGGGGTCCTTTAGTAGTAGTACAGTGGACCCCCGGTTAACGAACTTTTTTCATTCCAGTAGTATGTTCAGGTGCCAGTACTGACCGAATTTTTTCCCATAAGGAATATTGTGAAGTAGATTAGTCAATTTCAGACCCCCAAACATACACGTACAAACGCACTTACATAAATACACTTACATAATTGGTCGCATTTGGAGGTGATCGTTATGCGGGGGTCCACTGTATTAGTACTTACCATAACTACTACTACTATTACTATTAATACTATTACTACTACTACTATTAACACTACTACTGCTGCTACTATTACTACTACTACTATTAACACTACTACTGCTGCTACTATTACTACTACTTACTACTACTATTTACTACTACTACTACTACTAACTACTACTAAATACTACTACCAGAATAAACCCCCTCCACTCCTTGATAGCGGCACAGTATCATGATACAATACATACCAAATCTTACTGCATAAATCAGCACTTACTCTACGGGTATTTTGATATTCAATGAATACAGGTCTTTTTTTTTTTACATTATGTCGTAATTAAACTATTCTGCACATTGCAATTTCTTTCCCAAGTGCAATTTTCACTAGGATGTGCTTTTTTTGGCTTTTTTGCGAAAAAATCGCACATGGAGAGGGACCCATAAGGTCTATTATAAAGCTTCTCTACACAGTCTTGACTTTTTTTTGCAAGTGACAATGTCTTTATAGTAAGTGCTATTCAATACTGGATATAGTAACAGCCTGGTTGATCAGGTTGATTAGGTGGCCCGGTGGCCTGGTGGCTAAAGCTCCCGCTTCACACACGGAGGGCCCGGGTTCGATTCCCGGCGGGTGGAAACATTTCGACACGTTTCCTTACACCTGTTGTCCTGTTCACCTAGCAGCAAATAGGTACCTGGGTGTTAGTGGACTGGTGTGGGTGGCATCCTGGGGGACAAGATTAAGGACCACAATGGAAATAAGTTAGACAGTCCTCGATGACGCACTGACTTTCTTGGGTTATCCTGGGTGGCTAACCCTCCGGGGTTAAAAATCCGAACGAAATCTTATCTTATCTTTCTGATCCACCGTGAAGCCTGGTCATGAACCGGGTCATGGGGGCATTGACCCCCAAAACACCCTCCAGGTATTTAGGGAAGTACAGTGGACCCCCGGTTTACGATATTATTTCATTCCAGAAGTATGTTCAGGTGCCAGTACTGACCGAATTTGTTCCCATAAGGAATATTGTGAATTAGATTAGCCTATTTCAGACCCCTAAACATACACATACAAACGCACTTACATAAATACACTTACATAATTGGTCGCATTGGGAGCTGATCGTAAACCGGGGGTCCACTGTATATGAGGGAAAGAGGGACAGGACCAAGAGAAGAAGACAAAGAAGTGGTAGTAGTATTAGTATTAGTAGTCGAAAGTTGAGAGTAGTTTTAGTGACAAAATAGAAATGGAAGGTTTGCCAGAGAGATTATTGACAGTTAATGACTTGGAGTTGGCAAAATAACTCACTGGCGACGGCCTCACTCGCAGTTTCTTGGTGGATGATTTTTGGATGTCAATCTTCCGTTTCAAACGGCTGTGAATTTTGTTTGCCGGTTTGAGATGAGTGTCAGTCCCATCTGCTGGTCTGACACGAGAGTCATTCCCGTCCACTGGTCTGACATGAGAGACATTCTCATCCACTGGTCTGACATTCGAGTCATTCTCATCCACTGGTCTGACATTCGAGTCATTCTCATCCTCTGGTCTGACACGAGTGTCATTCTCATCTGCTGATTTGAGACGAGTGTTGCTTACACCTGGTGTCTTAAAGTTGCCGAACTTGGCAGAGTTCTTCCTCGCCGAGACAGAGCATGGCACACCTTTGGAAATACAATACTCTTATCAGTGATATTTCAACTTTACGATGGTGCAGCAGCAATTGCTTTGCAGATTAAACTTAAGATAATTACCCAACGTGAATGCAGCAAGTACTTAATTTGTATTCATTTATTTACTCTCCAGTGACAGCAGTTATTTTACTTATTTATTATATACAGTCTCTCCTCACTTACCGACGGAGTTCTGTTCCTAAGACCACATCGGTAAACAAATTTGTCACTAAGTGAGGAGCATACTATAATGGTAGTGAATTTGGGTCAGCCATCTTTGATGTTGTTTTAATGTCACTTTTGCACCATTTATAACATTTCTGGTATATTTTTAAATGTTTATACAGTAGTGTAGTGTATATTGTAATAAACAGAATAGAGGAAATCCACTCTGATATACATTATTTAGGTATGCATAATGGTCAGAGAGCCCATCGTAAGTCCGAGGCATCGGTAAATGAGTACGTCACTAAGTGAGGAGAGGCTGTATTCATATACAGCTTACAATGTTTTCAATGTGCGATGGGTTCATCGGTACATAACTGAATTGTAAGTGAAGAACCATCTGCTAATCCCCGGATTAAGCTAAGCTCACACTTGGTAATTCCCTACAATCTATTACGTTTAACAAGCTAATTACAACTTACCATCTTTCCCATCAATCAAGTTGCCCTTATTGTGGTTTTTGGAATCTTCATGAACATCGTCTTTCTGAAAGTGTCAAAATATGAATTTTGAAATTACAGCATTGTTAAATCTTAAGGATAAATTGGATCATTAATTATCCAGCTCCACTGGATAATTGATTATGGAAGGATAAGTTGGATCATGGATTACCCAGCACCGTTGGATGGAGATTGCCAACAGTGGCTTTCTGAAAGTGTCGAAATATGAATGATAAAATTCTAGCATTGTTAACCCTTAAAATGTTCAAACGTAGATCTACGTTCACTCACGTACAGCTGCAAACGTAGATCTACGTTCACTCACGTACAGCTGCAAACGTAGATCTACGTTCACTCACGTACAGCTGCAAACGTAGATCTACGTTCACTCACGTACAGCTGCAAACGTAGATCTACGTTCACTCACGTACAGCTGCAAACGTAGATCTGTGTTCGATTTTACATGCTTTCTTATGTAAAAAAAAGTAGATCTATGTTCGGAGCGCTACACATGTGAACGTAGATCTACGTTTGGACAGTTTAAGGGTTAAATCTCAAGAATAACTAAGATCATGGATTATCCTAAACTGCTGAATGGAGATTGCTAACTGGTAATCATGTTATTATCCCTATTGGCTGCACATTCATTTTCCATTAAGATTACACCATTATTAAATCTGCATGATGTAAATGATTTGGAAAATCCACAGGTTGAAGAACATAGCACTTGTGCAACATTTGGGAACTTTTATTGAGGAAACACTTCACCAGCCAATGGCTTCTTCAGTCCAACACAGAGAAGAACAGTGAAAGATGAGGAGAATGAGGTAATCAGTCCCCCGGCCTCATGGATATGTCGGATCATGGATTATCCAATGCCATTGGAGGGAGGTTGTCGTTAATTAATGGATATAAGTCACTCTGACTTTTTTTGTGTTATGTTAGTGGGTAATTTACACTATGTATGATAGTTGTAGTTATGTGTACCTGTACCTAAATTAACTTACAGAATGCATAAATGGTGTCAAAATCACTGCCAGAGTTGAACTTTCGACAAAATACTACAATTGGAAAAAGAAATTTGTCTACCAGAGAACGGAAACCAGAGTATTTTTTTTTTTTTTTGCAAAATTGAAAACACCAGCAGTGTGCCGCTACTCTACATCTAAATCTAAAGTAGTCTTTAAGCATTAGAATTAGTTTGCGCAAAATGAATTACATACTAGTGGCTTTATGTAGTATTTCACTATACCTGGTATATTACATATTTTGTACCACATAAATAAAAAATTTTACAGGACGGCCCCAGACATACAGGACCTCTTTCTGATGTTCCAAATGAGCCATTTTTCACCAGTGGGTGAAACATAATGAACATGTATCGTGCTGAAATATTATTATCAATATTATTATTATTTTTATTATAAATGCTCTACATAACTATGGGCTTTCTGTATGTACAAATAAATGTCAGCCGTCTCTGTATATATATTGTATCATGCTAAAATATAATATTATAACTCTTATTATTATTACGATTCTTATTATTATTATGATTATTATTATTATTATGATTATTATTATTATTATGTATGATAATTGTACTTATGTGTACCTGTGTTTAAATAAACTTAGGTGTTAAAATCTATCAGCCTAAGCTGGAAGACTTCAGTACGACAATGAGGACACTGTCAAGTACTAAATAAAAAGTCAATTGGAGAGATATTGTTAATGATGTGAATAATGATGAAGGTTTTTTTTCTTCTTTTTTGGGTCACCTGCTTCAGTGGGACACGGCTGATGTGTTAATTAAAAAAATATATTGTTAAATAAGAACTTCCATGCTATACAGTGCAGTGTTGTTTTAACATTTACTCGCAATATTATAACAATCAGAAGTAAGTGATAAACCCTCAAGGGTCACACAGCTTTACTCACCACAGAAAGTGATGTGGTAGAACTAGCAGCGCTTCGTGCTGGACGGGACAGAGGGCGTCGTGCTCGTTTTGAATGTTTTTTAATGGGCTTTTTTAAGGTTTGCTTTTTATTACGCTTTTTCAAGCTTTGCTTTTTTTTAATTAAGGACTGTTTTTTGAGTGCTTTTATCTTAATTGACAAAAGTGTCTTCTGTATCTGGTACTGACTAATGACTTGTTCCGGGGAAAAATTGTTTTTGGACTCCATGAAACGTATCAGGTCTTTCACACTCTTCAAACTCTCCTTCAGGGTCGGTGGAGGAATTTCCTCGTGACCGTCAGAATCATCGGGATCGCTCTCAATGCTCTTCTTAGCATTCTCAATGATGCTAATCAGGTCATCATCAGTTAGACGATCTGTTGTTGGGGCAGCATCGTCACAGTCTAGCCACTTATCAATGGACTCTTCCAGGTTCTCCGACTCAAACATTTTCTTCACTTCTGGAGCCTCGATAACTTTAACGTCATCTAATATTTCTTGTTTCAGAGAGTTCCTCTTACTTATTCTCTTTGGTTTAAAACCTTCAAATTCCTCGTCGTCAGAATCAATAAAAGAAATGTCGGGCCAGAGTTTTCTCCAACTTTTTTTCAAACTTGAATTTGTAACAAGTTCCCAAGCTTTTGTAATGTCAGAAATTGCTTCGTTAATGGTGAAACTTTTGTTAAATTCTTCCATACTTCCGTTGTGTGCGATTAACCTCCGTATAAAAGTTTTCCTGTAACGAGCTTTGACGTCCTGAACGACTCCTTGTTCCATCGGTTGTATTAAACCAGTTTTACTGTCAGGCAAGAACTCTGCAAAGATATTACCGCTGCGTAAATCTTGCAGCCTAGGGTGAGCGTTACTTTTGTCGAGCAACAACAGTGCCGTACTGTCTGCTGGACGACCCGTTTTTATGAAGTTTTTCTTGACTTCTGGAACAAAATGATTATAAAACCAATCTTGAAAGAGAACTTGATTTATGTAAGAATCTTTGTGAACCCTATAGATGATCGGAAGGTTTTCACACCTTTAGGCTCAGCACAGAGCACAGTAGGTTGAGTGGTGAGTTGTACCTGCTACCACTGATGATGCTGTAGCTCAATCACCCTCCCCAACCCAATTTACCCTCCCCAACCCCATCACCATCCCCACAACCATCACCATCCCCAAACCCATAACCTCCCCAAACCACCATCCCCAACCCTACAGGGTTGGAGTTTTTGTAGCCAATGTACCCACTTTGTGCAGGTACAGGACTGTTAAACCAGCTTCTGAAAAAAATCCGGCGGTTTAATCAATTCATAATGGCACGAAACGCAGTGGTCATCGTAGATATGGCTTTGCAATTTTTAAAAATAAGGATTACGAGACGAGCAATGATGCTGAACGGCCATGTGTTGGCTGGACCAAGAGGTGAGACCCCACAGAAATTGGTAGTTGAGCCAGCATACAAGCAGTATTAATTGGATTGATGCAAGAAAACCCAAAAGTAAAAACCACACAGTCCAGAATGCACAACAACATTGGAAACAACATATTCTGGGTAATAAGAAGTGTGTTTTATAACTTTTTAATACTAAAGGGTTTGGGTAGTGTGAACACCATGTGCTTGCTCCCACCAAGGGCTAGACTTCCCAGCTATCATGTTCATGCTACCGCCAAGTCTTAGGGCCTCCCTGCTTCCATGTTATGCTACCTCAATTCTAGCCTCCCAGCTACCAAAGTTCAATGCTACCTCCAAGTCTAGGCCCTCCCAGCTTACCTTGTTCATGCTCCTACAAGTCTAGGCCTCCCTGCGATACAAAGTTCTTTGTACCTCCAAGTCTAGGCCTCCCAGCTACCAAGATCAAAGTTCAGCATCAAGACACAAGGTCCCATTGTAGATCTTTGGTTGCTTCCTATGACCTTGTACACTTTAAAGTCCAAGTCCTTTTTGTTGGTAAATATTGAGTTTTTTTTCTATCTAGAGCATTAAACTACTTATGAGTTTTGTGTGCGACAGTTTTTAAAGTTTATTTTATTATTACTATTATTATTATTACTTTTTTTTTTTTTATTATTATTATTACTAGTTATTTTTATTGTGTTTACTTGAATGTGAACAAACACCTAGACTTGTTCTTCTCCCAGGTCACCAAATATATCTCCATCACTATTCCATTACAATCTATCATTATACATTACATCTTTTCACTATCACTATTCATCACATATATCACCCATCACTATTTACCACATCTGTCTCAATCACTTTTCACAATTCTCTCTCCAACATTACACATCTTTAACTTCACTATTCACAACAAGGTAGCACTTTCCACTATTCTCCACATGTATCACTATCACTATTCATCTTCATCTCCATACGTCCTTAATCACATCTGTCACTGTATACAAGGGCAGATCAGAAACAAAAAATTTCGAGGTTTACTTATTTATCATATATTATATTTGACCATTAATTGTGGCTGGAGATATTATAAATATTATTATTGTCTTCTTCCTAGCTTCCACTATAGAAGATATATCTAAATATGGAAATTTACAGGAAATTATGTATCTCATCGTGGTGTTGGACGTTATGACCATTTTTGTTGGGCTTTTTTGTTATTTTGATGAGTGGGGGCCCAGGAGCTGGAAGAGCGTCCGGATGCGACTCCAAATGGAGGTCCAGGAAGCCTCCTGGGCTTGTGAATCATTTTTCCATCGCGAGAATTTGTAGGCTCCCTGGATGGGGATAATATTTAATTGTGATAATATACCCCCTTATATTCCTGGGTAGGCCAGGTGAGCTCTTGGTGGCACCAAGATCCTGGCTCTTCTGGGAATCATCTTTAATGAATTTGGGGTACCAAGTCCAAGCAAGGAGGTTGAGTGAGCTGGAAGATTCTCTCATGGAGATGAAAGAATCCTGCCAGGATAATTCATCACTCCCAATGATGCTGGTTCATCTTGTGGGTTGTTGTGACAGGGTAGGAGTGTTTGTTACTACACCTGGCGATTCTTCCGTACCAGGATTCTCCAAGTCACTTACACATACCAGCACCGTGACACAGTGGTGAGTGGTGAGTTAGTAAATGCTACCACCCTGATGATGCTGGTAGCTCAACACCCCTCCCCACCCCAATCCTCCCAACACATCACATCCCCAAACCCATCACCATCCCCAAACCATAACCATCCCCAACCCACCATCCCCAACCTACCCGGGGATGGAGAGTTTTTGTAGCCAATGTTCCCACTTTGTGCAGGTACAGGACCTGTAAAACCAGCTTTGAAAAAATCCGGCGGTTTAATCAAATTCATAATGCCACGAAGACGCTCGAGGTCATCGTAGATTATGGCTTTGCAATTTTAAAAATAAGGATTACGAAAAAGACGAGCACTGATGCTGACCGGCCTAGTGTTGACTGGTTAAGAGGTGAGACCCCACAGAAAATGGTTAGTTGAGCCAGCATACAAGAAGTATTAATTGATGATGCAAAACCCAAAGTAAAACACCAGCCTGAATGCACAACAACATGGAAAACCACAAATTTGGGTAATTAGAAGTTGTGTTTTTAAAACATTATAATTAAAGGGTATTGGGTTTTTGTGTGAACACCATTGCTGCTCCCACCAAGGCTAGACTTCCACTATCATGTTCTGCTACCTCATGTTAGGCCTCCAGCTACCTGGTTTCATGCTACCTCCAAGTCTAGGCCTCCAGCTACCAAGTTATGCTACCTCCAAGTTAGGCCTCCCAGCTACCATGTTCCTGTACCTCCAAGTTAGGTCCTCCTGCTACAAGTTCATCTACCTCCCTAGTCTAGGCCTCCCAGTACAAGGTCAAAGTCAGCTCAAAGACACTAGTCCCATAGAACTTTGGTTGATTCTAGACCTTGTACACTTTAAGTCAAGTCCTTTTTTTGTTGGGTCAAAAAATGAGGTTTTTTTTTCTATCAGAGCATTAAAACTCCTAGAGTTATGAATGAGGACTGTTATACAAGTGTATATTATTATACTATTATTTTTAGTATATTATTATTATTATATATTATTATTATTACTATTATTATTATTGTTTTTACTTGAAAAGTGTACAAACCTCCAGACTTGTTCATCTCCCCAGTGTCACCTCATATATTCACCTTACTATCATTACATTCTATCTTATACATTACATCTTTCACTATCACTATTAATCACATATTATCACCATCCACTTTAACCACATCTGTCACCATCCACTATTCACTATATCTCTCACCAACAATTACACATCTTTCACATCACTATCACCAACATGTATCACTTCCACTTTTCTCCACATGTATAACTTCACTATTTCACTACTTCACCATCAATATTCATTCACATCTGTCACTGTATACTAGGGCAGAACAACAAAATTCGTGGTTAACTATATTTTATATATTACTATTTTGACCATTATTGTGGCTGGAGATATTATAACTTATTTTTGTCTTCTTTCCTAGCTTCCACTATAGAAAGAAGAATTATCTAAAATGGAAATCTACAGGAAAATTGATGTATCTTCATCGTGGTGTTGGTACGTTTTGGACCATTTTGTTGGGCTATATGTTATTTAGTTGAGTGGGCCCAGGAGCGGGATGAGGTCCGGATGACGACTCCAAATGGAGGTCAGGAAGATCCTGGGCTTGTGAATCATTTTCCAGAGAATTTGGAGGATCCCTGGGTGGGGATAATATTTAATTGGATAATTATACCCCCCCTTTTATTATTCCCTGGTGCAGTTGAGCCCTTGGTGGCACCAAGCTCCTGGCCTCATTCTGGGGAATCATCTTTAGATCTGTACCAAGCCAGCAAGGATGTTGAGGAGCTGGAGATTTCTCCTCAAGGAGATGAAAGAATCCTGCCAGGATATTCATCCTCCCAAGTGTCATGGTTATCTGTGGGTTGTTGCTGACAGTGTATTGGATGCTGTTGTTACTACACTGGCGATTTTACGTACCGGACTTCTCAAGTCATTTCACATACCAGCTACCAGTGGACACAGTGGTGATGTGGTGAGTTAGTACTGCTACCACTGATGATGCTTGGTAGCTCAACTAACACTCCCCAACCCAATACCCTCCCCAACCCCATCACCATCCCCAAAACCCATCACCATACCCATAACCCATACCAATCCCCAAACCCACCATCCCCAACCCTACTGGGTTATGGTTTTTGTAGCCAATGTACCCACTGTGTGCAGGGACAGGACTGTAAACCAGCTTCTGAAAAAATCCGGCGGTTTAATCCAATTTCATAATGCCACGAAGACGCAAGGAGGTCATCGTAGATTTGGGCTTTGCAATTTTTAAAAATAAGGATTACGAAAAGACGAGCACTGCTGCTGAAACGGCCATGTGTTGACTGGTCCAAGAGGTGAGACCCAACAGATATTGGTAGTTGAGCCAGCTTACAGCAAGATTAATTGATGATGCAAAACCAAAGTAAAACCACCCATCCAGAATGCTCAAACAACAGGGAAAACCACCAAATTCTGGGTAATAGAAGTGTGTTTTTAAGACTTTATAATACTAAAGGGGTATGGGTACGTGTGGAAACACCATTGTGCTCCCACCAAGGCTAGACTTCCAGCTATCATGTTCATGCTTACCTCCTCAAGTCTTGGCCTCCCAGTACCTTGTTCATGCTAACCTCAAAGTCTAGGCCTACCAGACTACCAAGTTCATGCTAGCTCCAAGTCTAGGCTCCCAGCTACCATGTTCATGTACCTCCAAGTCTAGGCCCTCCCTGATACAAAGTTCATTGCTACCTCCAAAGTCTAGGCCTCCCAGCTACCAAGAAATCAATCAAATCAAGACACAGTCCATAGAACTTTGGTTGAATTCTAGGACCTTGTACACTTTAAGTCAAGTCCTTTTTGTGGTCAAAAATGAGTTTTTTTTTCTATCAGACATTAAACTCCTAGAGTTATGAGGGGACAGTTATTAAAAGTATATTTTTATTTTACTATTATTATTATTATTATTATTATTATTAATTATTAATATTAT